AGCCGGCTGTTTAGTGTTTTGGACTGTTTATGGTTGTGAATCCGACGGGAGTTCTGTAAAATGGAAAAGTTTGAACTGTGACAGCGAGGAGTTCCTGGCAAGCGCTTATATACGTCCAGTTTCGAGGAGGACCCAATAGAGAGTTTGGGAGCGGAAATAAAAGCGAAATGAAATTAATACCATTCTCAAAGTTGGGGACCTCCAAGGCATGAAAGGAAGAGGATTTATAGTGCATGAACTGAGTATGTTAACAGCAACCCGAAGGAGGATTTAACAAGCCGGAAGTAGAAGACAACAGAGGAAGCCCCTGCACGTCAGCGATAGTAAAAGTGCCCAGCACGCAAAGAAGCGGTTCTGACTGTGTCCAGAAGAGATTTTTCTTTTTTTATTAACAGAAACTCAAGGGAACTCAAGGGAACATTAACAGAAATTCAAGGGAACATTACTAACATATTAACAGAGAATTATATGTGACTGAACTAAGAAAAGAAGTTTGACAACACACAGAAGAAGCCCAAGAAGATTAATTGGACATTACTAACAGTTTAATTTACCAGTTTATATATCACTCAGCTTTCTCTTTCTCCCGCTGTCTACCCTTCCCTTTTTTTTTCTTTTAAGCGAAATACCTCCCCTTTTTAGGGGAGCTAATAAAATCTTTACAAAAAAAAAAAAAGAATTTCCTGAGCTATATTGCAAAAGGTTTTATTGATGTTCATAAGAATTAAATGTTATTGTCAATTTCATCACAGTGTTTCTTTGTGTTGATGGATTTCCTGTACTGTGATCCCTTCTTTGGTTTTCTCAACCTCCAGATGCTGACTGGAGATCTCCTGGAATCACAACTGATCTCCAGATGACAGAGATCAGTTCCCCTGGATAAAATGGCTGCTCTTGAAGGTGGACTTTATGGCATTATACCCTGCTGAGGTCCCTGCCTTCCCTAGATTTTGCCCCCCCAAATCTCCAATTTCCCAACCCAGAGCTGGCAACCCTAGGTTTATTGTACGTTCTGTAGATCTCATGATAGGCTTGTCATACAACTTCTAGCTAATATGTAATTTCCCAGGAACCTTCTGTGAAGGATAGAATATTTGATGATCTTACTAAGAAACATTTCCCTCTTTTCTTTCATTTTCTCCTGAGATTATAAGTCTACTTTGTGTACAAAGTTGTGTATGCAGCATTAGAAGCTTTTACCAGATATCAAATTACATCATGAAAACAGACTTTAAATAAAGTCTCTAATTAATTCTAATCCATTCAAATAGATAATGCACTTTTCATGTTTGTTTACTGACAAAAATGAACTTATTTAATTACTTGGTGACCTTCTTTGTCAGATTCCTTAATGCATGTGATTTCTGATAATCAGAAACTGAACTATTCTGGTCTGTGAAAGAAATGTCTGAAACACTATGACCTTGATCCAGCAAAGCAGAGCATTTCATACACAACTGAGGCTGTGGAAATTTATTCGTTATGGAAAAATGAACATTCTTCATGTGTGTTTGAGAGCAGAGTTTTTTGTCTTGTTCTTTAAATATGCTACCTTCCGAGAGTATTTCCACATCAGTCCTTTCTGCACTTGGATCTCATCCCTGATTTTATCAGCAACTCACAACAAAATACCTTGCATTTATCCCTGGTTATAACAGCATCCATTTATCCCGGGACAAATGTGGGGTGAAACCAGGGTGACCTCAATATAATGTGGAAACAAAAAATACACTCAAGTGTAGTGTAGAATGTAAGTTCAGGGACAGGGTTGAACCAGGATTTAAGGTCTAGTGCAGAGCCCCTGCACATTTGCTGTGGAACTCCTATAGAAGATTGTGGACTGCATTTTAGAGTTCCCAACTGATTTCATGCAGGATGCTGGTAAGCTCTGTTGAGTCTTACTCTCAGCTTGTAGGAACCGATGGCATCCAAGAATGTATCACAGAGTTCAGGGGAAGAGGCCAGTGATACTGGGCATGTTATCTGAAGATTGTTTGACATTACTTCATCTTCAAACTGAGAAACCTCACACACCATTTGAAAATAACTGTGTTACAGCACTGCAGCTTCATAGCCAAAAATGAGACCTATACTCATGTTTTCTATAACGCAAACATTGTTCATCTTTTAAACAGCATTTTTGATTTTCTGCCAGTTTCTTGCTTCACTGCTCAGTTATTTTTTCCACCAGTCGTGCATAGAGAGGGTTGGCTTCAAGTGCTTGTATTTAGATACCTGGAAATAAGGTCCTTAAAGTATGCACAGTACAATAAAATGCTGTTATAAAACTGCCAAGCCATTTTGCTGCTCTAATGCAGCCTGGAAATACTAGCAATTTTATTTAAAAGACTCAAGGAATAGTCAGGGGCACTTCATATGCTTCAGGGGTCCCACCCCCCAAAAAATCTTTTTCTGTATAGGAAAAAGCGTGTGGATGGTAATCCAAAATGTGATATGTTTGTGATTTTGCCCATGAACATTCAAGTTGATTATCATCATTTGTGCTTTTCCTACATGAAATCAACCATGTGTAGCAAATGGTAATGCATGAGTGCTAGCCACTTCAAAGAGTAACCTTCAGTTTCTCTTTCCTCCTCTAATGAAAGATCCAATTATGTAGTCATTCTGTTTCCCTGCAATTCTTGTTATTCATCACTGTTATTTCCTGTTAACAAAGAAAAAGTGTTGATCCCCCCCCCCCCGGCCCGGGAATATGGTACAAGAAGGAGAATGCATTTCGTTGCTAGTTTAGACAAGGCTGATTGTATTTTTGGAGGCAGATTTTTTTTCATTTTATTGTTTAGTATTGGCTGACTTGATTGTTAATTAGCTGTGCTGACATAGTTTTACTGATTAACGTAAGCTCTCCATAGCTATTGGAAGAGTGGCGTATACTTTTTAAAATAAAGATGCATGATTTGGTGATAACTAGATGGGGCTATTGCATCGCAGTGTATATTGTGCTACTTTTGAAGAATGCTTAGAAACTCCAAATAGTCTAGACTGCAGCATTCAGGCAATGGCAGGGTAGACTGGCCATTGTGGCCACTTGAGAAATTCCTGGTGGTTCGATGGCCAGTGGGGGCTGCAAATGGGACCAACAATGGCAGAGCCACAACAAAAACAGGTGTTGCAGCTGCTGCCTCCCTAAGCTTCTTTGCCAACCAGCCCCATTAGTGGTTCCCCTCAACTGGAGGGAGATCCATCAGCTAGGTCAGTGGGTCCAGTTTGACAAGGACAAGCTGAGGGAGGCAGCCAGCAGCCACAGCATCTGGCTTTGCTGCAGCACTACTACTGCTGGCTTGTCTTTGCCCAGCTGGCCTCAGAGGTGAGGCCCACGAAAGTGCTTCGGGGGGGGGGGGACAGAAGGACATCACCTTTGGCAACTGTACAAGTATGCTTGTTTCTCTTTGTGATGTCTCTGGCAGTTGCAGGGCAACCTTTCTCTCCAGCCAGCTCATGGGCCCTCTTTATCAGGTGGAGCTCTTTTCCAGGGCCATTTTGCCCCCCTGGTCCACCACTGGGCAATGACCAAAGAGTTCATGTAACACCAGTCTTGAATAGGATACCCAGAGGAGTGCTTCCTCCTGTTTGACAAAGTGGGCTCTGACTCACAAAAGAATGACAATACATTTGTTGGTTTTTAAAGTTCCAGATGTCTTTTGGCTGGTTTAGTTGTGAAAAAAATAACTTAGCTATTACTCTCTAATTTCTCCAGTATATTCTTATTTCCTATTTGAAATCATCAGAACGGACAATATTATAGATTCCCCTCCTGTGTGAAGTTAAGTGGGTTATAATAGAAGACCAGTTTATTTTCTCTTGCGCTCTTCCAGTGGAATTTCCTACTGGAGAAGGGGTGTATGTCCAGTTTGCTCTCAGTATTAAGAACAGTGATCAAGAGCATGCATTAAAAAAAAACTTTAATGATTAAGATACACTAGTAATTTTGAATGTTTTTATTGGGATCAGCTTTCCAATCTTGTGATGGTTTTGCTATGTTGACTGAAGGGAACCTCCATATCCAGATGCAACAAACCTCTGACTACCAGTGCTGGGAGGCAGCATCAGAGGAAAGCCTCAGCCTCTGTGCCTCCAGGGCAACTGGTTGGCCATAGTGTGAGGCAATATGCTAGACTAGCTGGACCTTTAGTCTGGTTCCAATGGCACTGCTTCTTATGGGTGCTGTTTTGTAGAATCAGGTGATGTGAGGATTTTCCACACACATACAGCTTTCCATACATGCAACCCAGAACCTAGAATTCACAAGTTGTCCTATTCAGATGAAACACTGGCCACCCATCTTGGTGTGCGTCACACATGGTCAGTGGGCTGCGATTTCATGTGGATGTAACCTCTAAAGAGGGATATAGGAAGTGTGAATGGTTTGGTAAGTTATTCTGCATTGTTGCAGATGGTGTTGTATTTGTTTTTCTGTGATCAATATTACAGCTGTTACAGTTATTGCTAGAGATATGCTTCCAACTAATAACCCAAAGAACACGTCAGGTGGAGGTGGCAATTGCCTTTTGTACAAAGACTTCAGAAATGTGGTAATGTTATGCAAATTGTAGGCAGCTGTGCAAATGAATATAAAAATTGAATTTATTGTTTGATTTTGATTTTCTCTTAACCAGCTCCCACTCTACCTGAGTATGAAGGGATTGAATTCATTCTTAATGAAACTGCCACAACCATAACAGTACTGTTGAGACCAGCACAGGCCAAGGGTGCGCCTATCAGGTAAAAAAAAAGGGGGGGGATCCATTCATTTGTGTTATGTGTTTGTATACACACATGTATAAAACTTTAGATAATCCAATTAATTCTTCAAATCTTTTATTCAGTACCAGATTAATCCAAAGACTCACTCATTTAATTAACGTTTTCCTTCATTATTTCTATCTTACTTTATTGTTGTGGTATTTCAAAGATGCAAGGTAGGGTTGCCAACTCCAGATTGGGAAATTCCTGGAGAATTGGGGGTGGAGTTTAGAGCAGGGTTTGGGGTGGGGACCTCAGTAGGGTATAATGCCATAGAACCCACCCTCCAAAGTAGCCATTTTTTTCCAGAACTAATCTCTGTAGTCTGCAGATCATTTGTAATTCCAGGGGATCTGCAAGCCCCACCTTAGATGTTGGCAACCCTAGTGAGAGCACACGTGGTGACATGGCCTACATGTTATGTTACCATGTTATGTTACCATGTAGTTGTGGACAAGTTAGTGTCCCTCAGACTGACTGTCTTTAAAAACTAGAATGGTGAACTACTAACAGCAGGAATTTAAGTGTACATGGAACAATATTTTACTAGCAAACCATGTGAAGGTTTTGAGGATTATTGAACTCTCCTGGTTTTGCTTAACCCCAGGTTTTTCAGTTCAGATATCACACTCACACACACATTGTATATATAAAATTTGCATTCTCAGGAAAATATGGGTACTACACAGTTACCTGATTTAATTATGTCCTCACTCATAATTCAGGAATCAGCTTTACTTATACAAATGCTCCCTTGTATTCCGTGCCTGTTCCATGAACATTCCTGTTGAAACAGATGTTCTGTAATCCAATTCCAATCTGCGGGTGCTGTCAATCATTCCTTAAGATGTAACATGCTGTGGGTAGTCACAGTTCTAATCATGACATAATCATGTCTTGCCTGCCAAGTGTTATCTCATAATCTCTAGTATTCTTTGTGACCTCCTGAATATGTAAGCCACACAGCAGACATGAAATACAAAGGAGACCAGATGAATCAGTATTTAGAATCAGACATTAAGATTTACTTTTACTGAGCCAGAGGTTTCCTGCTCAGCCAGTAAGAGAATAAGCATTTACTTTGTCAGTGAGCCATGTAAAAAGTGATTTGCTTATCACAGGCAACATGTACTGGTTAGGCCTCAGTACTGAACTGTGTCTTCATGATTTATGAATACGCCACAATATTGCTAATGAGTTATGATGGATCTTGGTTGATTATATTCATCTGTGTATGTGTGCAGGGGGCTTTTCAAGCTGTAAACTATAGCGGTTCATTCTCAAGCATAACCTAACAAGGAGCTGTTTAATTCACGTCAGCTTAGTGCTGTCTCACTAATTCACACAAGCAACAGGTGAGGTAAAACTTTCTTGGACTATATCACTTAAAACTGCTGGTAGGGGAACATATAAAAAGCTCACTTTATTTGAGAATGTAGAGAATAATTTTTTCCTAGCCATTGCTCTGATATGGTGGTTTTGTAAGCACAATGACTGTTAATTATGCAGTCTCCTTCCAACGTGGAGTGAGCCAGTACAGGATCATTTTTGCCACTTAGACTTTAGCTGCCTTGAAATAGAAAAAACTCAAGCTATTCTGAACTGAATGATAAATAAATAAAACATTAAACAGTGTTCTCCCCCATCATGATTACATACATTGCACTCAACTTCCACTGTCCCCCAGCACTTATTCTTCTAAACTGGTTGGATATTGAAATTGACACGTTTACTGATCTTCTGGCACTTTGGAGAGCAGCAATTTTGTCAATTATTTTATCTTGGCGGCTTGGAAAGATGCTATGAGAGTGTCTGCAGAGGCAAGCATAAAATGTCTGTGTTCCCAAAAGGGTAATCCAGTTGCTTGAGCCATAAGATAGGAAATGAAGCAAACACCTTATTTGTACAGACAGTCCCAGGTAGTCATGGTGGCCCGAAAGCAATATCTCAACACAAAAACTCTGCAAAACAGGCATGAATAGGGATGTGCATCTGAAAAACAAAGGTATTGTTCAGATTTGGGTTTGGGAAGGGTGTAAATCCTGTTATTTGGGAGTATTTGGATTTCCTGATACCATTTCAGGATTGAGGGGGTTGGGAGTTTCCAGAACTATTCAGGTTCCATTATTTCAGGTTGCCACTAGTGCTCGGTCAGCAAGAGGTAGGCATGCTGCACCTGAGAGCGGATCCAAATGTTGGATGTGTGAAGTGCACAGATCTTCCATGAGCATGGGACAGCTACGCCTTCACATAGCCCCTGGCAGCCCAAAAGAGGAAGGGCACTATGATCCTGCTCAGCGTGGTGCGAGCATTCATCATATACCAGGGATAGGCATCTTGGAGCAGCCTGCAAGACCCAGCATCCTCAACAATAGAAAAGGGCTGCCTATCTAGAGCAATCATCTTGCCAATGAAGCAAGTAACCCTCTTAGCTGCCAAGTGCTGCCTGCCTCTTGGCACCCTACCCCTACAGGTGACCTGGAACACAAGCAGCAGAGGAGGTGTCAGAGTGACTCCCCTCTTGGCTGGCTGGTGACTTCATGGCAACCCCACTTGGCATCTCTCTCCCCTTGAAGAATGACTGCAGGGTGGTGCTTCTTCAAATGGTTCCTGAGCTTGGTGATTGAGAAATGAGACGAGTCTATCCCTTGACTAATCCTAGCCCCTACACAGCTGTCACTGTGCAAAACAGGGCTTCTCCATTCTCTGGAAGTGCTTCCAAGATGTGGAAGAATAGGAGCACTCATGCTAACTACCAGCTGCAGGCACCACCAGAGCTGCCTCCTATGAGGGGCCCAGGCCAAACAGTGTGTCTAGAGGGACAGAAGAAGATGCTCATGAGAGAAGGGTTCAGATGGCAACACATTGAGGCACACCTCCATTTCTTCCTCTTGTACCACCTCCAGCCTCTCCTCCTCCCACTTCTTGGAAGGTCTACTACACTGTGGAGGAACAAGAAAAAGGACACCATTGCCCAGCAATTCTAGGTCTTGCAGTGGCCTCTGGGTCCCTAGGGTGAACCTGTGACCTGAAAATCATCTCCCAAATTCAGCCCAAAAAACAGCTCATGCAGCTCACCCTCGTCCTTCTGAGTCACAACAGCTGAAGGAGGGGCAGCCTGGGCAGCAGACAGTGCCCCCATCTACCTCAGGCACCTCTGCAGGTGGCACTGTAGTGGCAGCCTCAATTAAGATGACCTTGTGAGGCCTCTTCCAGGGTGGTAGAAAGCTGCTGTGGGACATGCCTCTGCACAGGTATGTGTGGGGGAGCTGCAACTCTCTCCTTCATGCCATTACCCTTCTGAGAAAACTTTCCCTCAGGACACTGCTGCAGTTCCTTTCTGTTGCAGATTCTGTCCCACTTGACTATTTCATGAAAGTAAGATTGCTGCCACAGTGCACTCTGAGCACTAACTGACTTGCCCTTGAACCTGACTCACTATTCTGCTGCCCTTCACTTCTCAGCTCAAACCTGCAATTGTAAAACTACACCTAGGTTTGCTTAAATGAATTCTTTTTGAAAAACTGTTTCTGACTTTCTAGCTTAAAATTTAACCTGTTTTTGTAACTACCAAAACAAACCTGAGATTGAAGTATGGAACTCCTTTTAAAAACTTCATTTAATTTAATTTATTTTTCCTATTTTTTCAAAACATTAAGCTAATCCCTAGCTTTTATGAAAACTTGACTTCATTTTTTTAAGATTAAATCACCTGTCTTCAGTTGTTTTGAAGCAAGTCAGCCTATTTTTTAAGTAAACCTGTGTTCCACTTTTTAAATCTTCCTTGCTTCTTATTATTTGGGAAGCCTAACAAAAGCCAAATTTGTTATAACACTGACTAAACCCTAGGCTGAAATTTATGCTATATTTTAAAAAAAATATCTAAACCCTTTCCTACAGTTAAAGAAATTTCTTTCAGAACAATTTAATTAGAACACCCACAAAAGAAACACCCCTACAACTCCACTAAACCATCCCCCCAAAAAAATACAATGCAGGAAGATCTTTAAAACAACTGTAGAAGAACAACTGGAAAACCAGAACAATGCCAAAAAGTAAACTTTTTAAAACCTGGGGAACCGCCCCCCCCCCAAGAAAAACCATGAACACTCTAAAAATTAAAGAGCAAATCAGTAAAAAAGAAGAAAAAAACTAAAACAAGCCAAGACACATCAACAAAATACCACAAAAACACAAAAGAGAATCAAATAATACTTTTAAAAGAACCAGAAAGAAAACAATGCCTCCCTCCCCCTGCAATCCACCAGGCAAAAACAAACACAGAAAAACTTGAAATAATAATTTTAAAACAAAGTGCAAACCAATCCTGGCCCCAAAACAAGAAGAGTCTCTTCCCAGGCAGACAGCAGCGGTCAGCAAAATTAATCCAAGGTATAGATAGACCACAGCAGCCAGAGGCACACCAGCAGCACTCAAAAAAACCCTCACCCTGAAATATAGCCAAGCTGTACTCAGGTCTGTTTTTTATCCTCTTTGTCCATGGTCAGAAATCTATGGGCTGTGAAAGAACCATCATGATTGGGCATACAGTTAGACCTCCCCTAACGTGGGATCCCATTTGCCTGGGAGAGATCTCTCTCTCTCTCTCCCCCCCCCCCCATTATTGCCTGGGAAACCTGTTAAAGTGAGGAAAACCATGCTTGGGATCCTTAAGACACTGGCCAAAGATATTTTCAGAAATATTTGGGACCCAGATACCAGCGTTGCCTAGATTCCCAAATACCATCCAGATACTAGAATATACTGCCAAAATACTGTTAAAACATTTTTCAGGTATATATTCAGACCAAATATATTCAAGCACATGTCCCTAAGCATGACATGAAGTTTTAACATCTGAAATTTCTGACTTTGTTCTGATAGTTAGCACCGTTACACATTACTTGTGGGATTGTATTCTGCTTAGCTCTGGAGCTAAGGCCGGTTCCAGTATGTATCTGGTTTTCTTGTTTATGTGATAACCTATACTTTGAGTGTGCAACCCTTGGAGCTTTTTGTCTGTGTCTGACCCTGGTCAGATGGTCCCAACTGAAGGTTGCACTCATGTGCTTCACCCTATTATAGGCAGGCTCTACAACAGCACTATAGGACTACAGTGAATACCTGTTTACAAAGTCCTGCTGTATTATAGAATACCCCCAAATTAGAAGCTTCCAGATTTAATTCTACATTGTGTTAATGGAGAAAGAATTCATACAGCTGCACTGGGAAAATGGCTTCAGGTCTTCATCAGTAACAGTAATAATGTTGACAGTGGAATGAAAAGCAAAGGGAGAGATCATTTATGCAGGGGATGCAAAAAGGAAGAGAATCTGCTGTCTGGTCTCTTAACCACCAGAGATGGACTGTGCTCTGTAGGAAGCGGAAGTAAAATGTTTAGGACTTTATAGCAGGTAGCATTTTGACCACAAATCAAAAATAGCTGAGAATATGGCTTATCCATATGTTACTTATGCCTGCAAGTTGCTTGCCTACTTTAAATATTTCCATGTTACATTGAATGTTCATTTTTTTCAATCAGTGTTTGGTTTATAAATCACACGTGTTAGGGGCTGAAGGCAAAGGGAGATTTTTAAATACTTGAAATATTTACTCCACTGTTACATATTTTAAAGGAATTAAATTTGCTTTTGTCCTTTATGGCACCTGATATCAGAACATACGAGCGCTGATTACCAATTAGTCTAATGTTTCAGCTGTTTGCCTCTGTCCCCTATAGGGAAAAGAAGAATTATAATTACACTCTGTGCTAAAGTGAGATTTTTATGAGAAATGACCAAAAGCTGTCATTGCAAGGAAGGTATTGGCAAGTTGAGGTTGAAGTCGGTGATTGTTTTTTTAAATAGGCTGAACGCCATCTGCTTCAGTAATTTGTGATGTTTTTGTCAGTGGCAACTATCGGGAAAGGAGGTGAACTATTTGGAGGGAGTGGACAGATTTCTATCCATCTGTGCTTGTATTACTGAATGTCACTTAGACTTTAGATCTCCATATCTGAGAGCCAGGCTAGATGGCACAGCAAGGTCAAAAGGTGGAAATGCCTGTCAACTCTTTCTGTTTCTCAATAATATGACAACTGCAATTTGGTGTTTTAGGCACTGCTTGGAAGCAGGCCTTGAAGCTGAACTTTCTATAATATCATTTCAAAGGCCAGTGCTTACTTCAAATGTTGCAAGTTATCAAGCAAAAAGCTTAATGTATTACAAATGTGCGCCTAATATCAGACTCATCTTGGGCTGCTTAATAACATAATGCTTCAAAACGTTAATGTTCAAAAGGGTTTTCTGCATGTTTCATTGGGTATTCTGGAGGACTAGAGATGGATGGATGAATAAGGGGGGAAATGCTAGAAAATGAACCATGCACTATTCATGAGGAAAATAGTTACGAGAGGCATAAACTGTAGTTTTAAAACATGTTTATCTCCTACTTTGCTTGAATTGAATGCAGTAACATTTGGTAAAATAATCTTTGTATGTTAGAGTTTTAACATCTTATAAGTAATGTTTTTCTGTTGGTTTGAATAGTGCCTACCAGATTGTTGTTGAAGAGCTGCATCCTCATCGAACGAAACGAGAAACTGGAGCAATGGATTGCTACCAGATTCCTGTCACGTATCATAATGCTCTGAGTGGTGGCTCGCCATATTATTTTGCTGCAGAACTGCCACCCGGTAACCTTCCTGAACCAGCCCCTTTCACAGTTGGTGATAACAGAACCTATCAAGGCTTCTGGAATCCACCTTTGACTCCTCGCAAGGGATATAACATCTATTTTCAAGCCATGAGCAGTGTTGAGAAGGTGAGTGGCCTTTTTTCTGGATCATCAAATGTATTGATGGTGCAAATTTGGACTATCCACTGTATAGATTCTGCCCCCAGGCCAGTCCAGGGATGGGGGAAAGAATTCTACACTGGCACAATACATTACACAATAACACAGAAAGGTAGGCTCTCTGGATTTAAACACAATAGCCACCAGGAATCTCTAAACTTACTCCCTCACCAACCTGAGATTAGAGATCCCCAGAATCTCAGTTGGCATGTGGGTTTTACATATTAGCAACTCTAGCTCAGAGATGCACTTAATCTTACACAGGTAGCACAATTGGTCAGCGGTTTAGGCTACAGGATTTAGCTTGAAGTCCAGTTACCACAATCCAGACACTATTTATAAACAAGAATAAGGTTTATTCAGTAGAGAACTTTAGCACAGACTAGAAGGATTCAAAATAACAGCCTTGGCAAGTCTTGCCTTAACTAAACAGTAAGAAACATATTTACCAACATCAGGGTAGTGTCCACGAGCAATATTGGAAGAGTCCAGGTATCTTGAGAAACAATAGTTCCATCCTTGCAAGCACATGGTCAGCTCACAAAGGAGTCCTTTGTTCTTCCTGGGACAGCATTTCCCAGGTGCAGTTCAACAGTAGAGAGAGAGCAAGAGAAAAATCTGACTCTCCTCCAAGGGTCAGACAATTAAGAACCCCAATCTAATCATGACTAGCGTGGCCATTAGCCAATCACGGGTAGGAAGGGGGTGTCCAACTTTTGGGTTGTCATGGGAACAACATCTGAATGGTCAGAGCTCTGAAGGACACACCTGGGTCATGTGCCCCTCCAAACTCTAACCCACCATGGCCTACGTGACATGGGCCCTGTAGCCTGAAAGCAGGCGCCTTGAAGTCTAACTCTTCCACTTAGAGGTGTGAAGAATGTGTGGCTATATGGCATGGCAATTGACCAAATGGTCAGCCATCTGGCTGGTAACAGGAAACAAGGTATCAGAAGACATTCCAGGGGGGAGGCAGGGGTTTATAGGAATCAATATTTCTATACATCCACTCATAGCTCTGATGTAGAGAGAAAATATCTTGCGCAAGAACACAGGTACTGTTACAGTGGATCAGAATCACGGTCTCCATCTAGTCCAGGGTCCTGTTTCACCCAGTGGCCAGTGAGATGCCCTTAAAAGACCCACAAGCAGGACACAAGCCATAGCTTCCGCTGTGGTTGCCCCCTGGAGAATGCTGCCTCCGAATTAGGAGGTTTTATTTATGATGGCTAATGATGGTGTGATAGGCCTTTTTTATCTACTGAGGAGACTCACACAGCCTCCTACAATTTTTCGGGAACCAGGTTTCTTTTAAACTTCAAACCTTCCCTTCAGTTACCAAGTGTTCTTAAGGTAACTTGTATAGGAATGGGTTCACTGTCATGAGGTTAGTTTTGTGGTGAGCAAATAGAATATGGAGATCACTGAAGCAGGATTTTTATATAAACAACCAAGGACAGATTGGTTTCAAGGAACAGATCAGCAGCACAGGTCTCCAGATAAACAAAGGATAGGCCTGGCTGAGGCATATTAATTTAAACTAGTTATAGTTTCAGAGAGTAGTTTGAATTTTCTTTAATACTTTCAGGCATAAACAGGCTTTTGTTGACTAGCCACTAGGTTGGATCCTCTCACATATACAGGTTTCTACCCACATTATCCTGCCCTTTCCCAAGAGCCAGACAAATGGTACAAGGTCTGCTTATTACCAGAGACAGACTTAACAACTGGATACTGTATTTTCTCTCAGATATAGAGCTAAACCACTCTGCCGCACTACCAGACAGAGCTACCCTTCACTCTATCTGGTCTTTTTCTGAGCCAGACCTGAGCTCTTACTGATCTCTTCCTGAAGCAGAACTGGACTCCTTCTGCACTCTCATTGAGGCAGACTTGAACTAAACTCCTGCTGTGCTCTCTTCCAAGATTCCGTCCCCCTTCTGAAAGGTGATTGGATGCTGGAGCAACATGCCCATAGGCTCAATCGAGTGGCTGTTTTCCCCTTCAGGGGCAGGACAGCCTACTGTCTGTCACAGATGGGCCTATCCATTTCCTTTTAAAGTACTCTAAACTAGTGGTTATCACCACATCCTGTGATAATTACTTCCTGAGAGAAGATATACTTTGTTCCTGAGATCCATTGTGGTGTAGTGGTTAAGAGCAGTGGACTCAAATCTGGAGAACTGGGTTTGATTCCCCACTCCTCCACATGAAGCCAGCTGGGTGACATTGGGTCAGTCACAGTTCTTTAAAATCTCTCTCAGCCCCACCTACCACCTACCTCACAGGTGTCTGTTATGGGGAGAGGAAGGGAAGGTGATTGTAAGCCACTCTGAGACTCCTTTGGGTAGTGAAAAGTGGGGTATAAAAACCAACTCCTTCTTCTTCTATTGTCTGTCCTGAATCTTCCTCCCATAAAATTAATTGAATGTCCCAGAATTGTATTATTATGAGGTGGAAAGAAATAGTTGTCTCTACTAACTTGCTCCCCTCCCCCATATTATTTTATAAATCCTGTCATGTTTTCCTTTAGTAATTGTTTGCGCATATGCATCACTGACCTTTTTTAACTTCAAAGAGAAGCATACACATGTCAACCCCTCCAGATGATACATAACAAACAACTTTTAACAACTACTCTTTTTCAAAAGAGGTTTATCAAGCAGCATTGTAATCCTCCTGTCTGACAGAAACTGTATTATGAGGCTGCAAGTAAGGTAAAAACTGCATTGTGCTGCTTTGGTCATGCCCAGAGATCTCTGAAGACATAGCAGGGCAGAAAAGCCACATGCCCACATCTCTTGTGGCAAAAATATAACCATCTCTACTAAGGTAATTTGCTTCTCTTTAATGTTATCCCAGAATTTCCCACCTGAGGCACTCTGTCTTGACTCACTGTCTTGGCTGGTACCTTATTGTGACTGTCTGGATTTTGGCCTAAATTGTTGCATTTGGTACTATGAATCCTTATCCTTGCATGTATTCTCATACAACAGAGTTCTTTGTAATTCATATTCCACATAGTTAGTTAGTAATAGTAACCATTACAACTTGAAAATTCAGCAATTGTTTCAGGGAAATAATTCAAGCCATCTGTGATTCTGCATTTCCAGGAAAATAGTCATCCTGTTGTTCTCAGTGCTCACACAGTTCGAAAGATTAAATTGCTGCAGGATAAACAAAATCCAGGTTGCTCAGCAGGTTAATAAAACATTACCAACTTTTCATGGTCCCACACACCAAACCTCAAAAAAAAAAAAAGTTTTCTAAATCAGCCCTTGATTGTAAAGGAACCCCTATGCTCACGGTATGTTTGTAAAAAGTCTCAGTACACAAGTTTGTTTCAAAATTGCTTGACTGCTGTGAAGGTACTAAAGGTATGGCTGCAGACCGCCATTGCTATTTCCTCACGGTTTGATATTTTGACGCAGTTGTGTACCGTTTTCTATTTTGGTATGCATACTGATGGAGAACAAAGCAACAGGAAGTTAAATACTGCAGGCAGCTCTAGGTGTGAAAAGTAACAAGATTTGATAAACCTCATGCTGCTGCCACTGAATCATTTTCTTTTGTAAATGGAAATATATGTGATGGGAAAGAGAGGGAAATGGTATTCAGAACAGTAGCTGAGATATTTAAAACTTCCATTTAGGTATTAAGTATAGTCTTGCATGAAATCTCTGTCTTCTGGTTATTGTGTCCTAGTAACAGATGGTTGGGGGAAGAAAGGGGGAGAGGGGTGATCTAGAGGAGATTGCTACTAGATTGATAGGCTCCAGGAAGGTTAATCTGCTGTCAAAAGAAACCAAAGCCATTTCTACCCTGCCATTTGGATTTCTGCTGCAGCTAGTAATGAAGAGATCACAGCTATCAATGGCTTTGCCATTCAGTCTTTAGAATGAAGTCTTGCCTAATGTCTATAATTATAAAAAATTAGCTGTTCATCGTAGCAAAATAAGGAAAATGTCATAGCTAGTGAAAATGCATGCCAGAATGGTTGTGGAGCTGGATGGTTTCTCTGATAATTTCTAGAGTAATTTTTCTTAATGCATGGCTGTCAAATTTATGCAGACATTAATGCAGATGACAAGGACTCGGGCCTGTGGAGATGTAATATTCCTGGTCCCTTGACTGTGGCAAAGGAATTGGGAACAGATTGCATACATCCTGGCCTGTCACCTCTCTGTCTCTCACTGGACTTAACCGTGCTTTATTTTTTCATTGGCACTGATCATAACAATGTTTAGAACTGAGGCATAGCTACTCAAGTTTAGAAGCTAGATGCAAACCCTTGTTTGAAATCCCAATTAATTGTAGATTCTGGTAGTGATAAACATAGTAGCAGTTGGTGCCAATGTGGTTAATATCTATATAGTCAGCCCTGGAAATATTGTCAGATTGCAGAGGATTGGGAGGGAGTGACCCTGTCTTCTTCTGGTCCTGGTTAAGTGATCAAAAGTATTTCTTCATCTTCTGTCTTTGGTGCAGCCCCCATTGCGAATGCGCCTGTGCAAGGCCAGCCACAGACAAGATTTTTCCAGCTAAAAACAATCTGAGGGGGTGCCCCGCCCCCTCCGGAGCCAACGCAAATGGCTTTTCCCACCCAAACTGTCACGTGCTCCAGAGGCAGGTGCCCCCTTCTCCCTCAGTTCCTTTTTTGCCACCACGCAGATAGGAGCTTTCTAGTATAGCTGTGTTATTTCAGTCTTTATTCTGGCTGAACTTGGTGGGTTTTTTGCTTATCCGAGAGTGTTCTCTTCTGTCTTTAGCTTTCATCTCCTTTTTGACAGAGTCTGGGGTGAGGTGACATTCGTTGACCTACTCTTCAGTTCCCCCTCTGCTGTCGCATGGCTTCCAAGGCACTATTCAAGAAGAGTACTAAGTGCATGACCAAATGACCCACAGTGATGCGCACAAACTTTGTCTCATATGTCCGGGAGAATCACGTAATGTGGTTGCTTGCAAAATTTGCCAGGGCTTTACACCTAATGCACGTTTGGACTGGGCTTCCCAACTGGGGGCCTTGCTTTGGGGAAAGGCTTTGTCTGCCTTGGGCCTGTCCAAGTCAGTTCCAGGATCAGAACCTCTGAAACCACCCTGCTTGAACCAGTCAACCTTGTCAGGTTTGGCACCAGGGTCCCATTGCGGGCCATCATCTTTATAATCGGTTCCAATGGCTCTGATGGCCAACAAGGCTTCACACCTGCTTAAGACAGCTGCTTCAGTTACCGCTGCCTTGGAATCAAGAAGTTCTCAGTCTCCATCCTCATGGGCCCCAGCCCGTTCCTCATCAGAACCACCATCCAAAAGAAAATAAAACATAAGGAGAAGACTAGCTTTGCTTCTAAACATTGCAAACTTCCCCGAGTTGACTTCCCCGAGCCATTCCTCCAAAAAGCAGGATGTCATTCTAGTACCTTTCCATCCCCTCACTTTGGCTGTCTTGTCAGGAACTGAAGAGGAGCAATCCAGTCTCCCAGCAGGGCAGCTGGTACGGTTCGAGCTGACCATGCCTCCATTGTGGCAACAACCTTGTTCACCTCAGTGGTCTTCATACTATGTGTCACTGGCATATCTTCAACAGTGGCCTGAGCACCGTTCTCAGCTACCTCATCCTCCTGTACCTGGTTTCAGACATGATTCAGGTGATCCTAGTTGCCTGGAAGCTACTTGATATGGACCCTGTGGTATTGCATTATAGCACTTCAGAACTGTCTCCAGATGACAGAGTTGGGGATCCAACTCCTATTTCCCTAAATGAAGACTTGAGACTTTATAGTGAGCAAATGCTCAGGTTGGCTACGGAAATGGATATTAACGTCTCCACATCTGATAATAGGACGAAGGATAAAATTTTGAGTCACTTTTATCCTGATTTGCCTGATATTGTGGTATTTACTGTTTTGGAGGGCCTTGCTGATATAATGGTGCTAATTTGGCAAAAACCGGCATCTACTCCAGCTACTTCTCGCAGGGTCAAGAATTTATACAGGATCAAGCAGGACTCGTGTGAATTTCTGACCACTCATACACCTTCCTCTTAATTGGTTACTGAGGACATTGTATCCAGCCTCCTCAGCCCTGAACCCGGGATGGTCTTTCCCGAGAGAGAGACACCCCAAAATGACCTCTGAACCTCCACAAGCAGTGCCCTCATAAAGCCAGGCTTGGCTTAAACAGTGGCTTTTGCTGGGAGGCTAGGAGAACCCATCTTGGCTGGAAAAACTCAGGCCAAGTGAAGACTTTCCAGGCTGGCTGCACTGCCAAACAGCCTCCATGCAAGCAACCCCCCCCCCCCATGTCTCTCCTGTCAGCTCAGTCCATAAGCACTAAGAATCAGCAAATCTTTGCTCTCACCTCAGGCATCTTCTACTGACTAGTCTTTTGTCTGTCAAAAGTACAGGCAAGCAGGGACAAAGAGCCTCTGGTCTGTGCTATTGTCATGAATGAAGTATGTTGCATGTTTCTATCCCATATCTCCTGTTTCATCTATATGTCAGGAAATACCTTTGGAATAATCCTCTCATTCCTGTCTCCATATATTTGTCTAAAATATCTGCATCCTTACACCTATGCCAGACCTATCAAGGTAAACATTAACTTTCCATGTACGGCAGTGTTCCCTCTAAGCTGAGTTAGTGTGAGCTAGCTCACAGTTTTTTACCTCCAGCTCACACATTTTTGTCTTAGCTCAGAAAGGATGGCTCCAGAGCAAACTAATTTATGCAGTACCAAATTGATCTCTCATGACTTTAATGCCAGTAGCTCACAAAGTTGATTTTTTGCTCACAAGACTCCACAGCTTAGAGGGAACGGTGAATGGTCACCCATTCAGGTTCATCCTGCCACACATTAAGAAACATCAACTCTTTTGTCTGGTGCCAGGCCGCTCTTTTGTTTCATAATGGACACTCCCAGCCAACCATCTAGCATCTGGCTTATTCCCATCATATCTATTCTTAAACCAGACTCTGCCCCTCTTGAAGCTCATTGGTCATACCTGAATTATGCTCTACCCAGTACCACACCTCCATGGACTCCTTATTGGTCTAGAAAATCTATTGTTCTCACCTGAGACCAGCCCCCAAGGCTGCCCATTGGTCTGCATTGTTTTCCAATGTCTGTATCTGTCAAAGTACATGGCCTCAGATTTTGTGTGTCTGCCCCTAATGCCAACTGACAGTTCACCCCTAAACTTTTGGCTTGGGCCATAATCTCCTCTCCATGGACCCCTAAACATCTGGACAAGTTGTATCACTCCATAACTGACCCCTCTATTCGCTATCAATCATCTCTGCTTTCTTAATTCTGTATTGCTTGCTCTTTTTGAATGCTTAGTGTGCTTGTAATTAGTGAAATTCTTCAATAAAACCTATTTAATTTACTCTTCAAATCTGGAGTTTTCCTACTGTGCTGGACCTTGGTATACAAGTGGTGTGCAATTCCTATACCCCTCTGGCCTGTCCTGTCACATAGCTAACTTCCTCAAACAAGGCAGGCCATTGGCGGTAACAACATGCAGGTACGTCAATAATTATCAAAATGCAAAATCCCTTAGTATATTTTCTTCACCTTCTGCTTCACTCCAAGACAACGTGGGTTTGCGCTGCGCTTTTTCAAGGGCGAGAGTCGCCAGCAAAAACAGGTGCTGTACCACTAGCCTCAGTATCAGTATCAGTCATCCTCCTACCAAAGGAGAAAGATTGCTATAAGACAGTAGGCAAGCCAGCAGTCTTTTCATAGGGTGCAGACCTAAGCAGTTTTTATGGCTCATGGAGTTCTGTTTGTTCTGACATTTGGGCTTTGTCTGTTGTTCATAACGGTTACTTTCTAGAGTTCACCTCTTTTCCTCCGTGTCTCCCTGCTTCAGCAGTGGTAGATAACCTATATTCTGAGCTCCAACTTCAGCTGAATGAGGTCCTACAGAAAGGTGTAGTCAAGATGGTTTCTCCAGGTTCTTCCTTGTTGATAAAAAAGGTGGAGGCCATAGGGCAATCCTCAATTTAAGAAGATTAAAGTAGTGACAGCCATGCATTCCTTACAGTGTGTTGTTCGGGACTTAAGGCATTAGTGACGGAGAGCGGGATACAAATCAAAATTAATAATAATAATATGTATTAGCCCATTGAATTAAACTAGCTTTTGTTGACTTTTCTAAGCTCTTCCCAAGCTGATGTGAACTGCTGATGATACTACTTCAGAAGCAAACTAATTGTTTTTCTTCTATTTTCTTCCTTAATAGGAAACCAAAACTCAGTGTGTTCGGATAGCTACCAAAGGTAAGAGCTTTCCCTTTCTATCTAAGCAGATTTTTATAGCTTGCTTTCAGAGCTAATTAAATGTGGCATTTCTGTTGCTGGGAATTTGTAGTTAGAGCTTGGTTAAAATGCCAGTAAAATGCTTGGCTTTCCCTTTGTGTTGTAAAATGTGACAGGGTACAACCTTTGTGTACTGTTTTGTGGGTGTTGAGGTTTTTCCTCACTTATTGGTAAGAAGATAACTATTGTATGATTAAGCAGACTTTTGAGAAAATAAGGAAATTAATTTCACTTTCTGGGGATTGACAGGGGCTTATTTTTGTGATCAGCTGAAGAATGAAAGAGGGCTAGGAAATATGGTCTTTAGAATAGAAAAGTACCAATTCTTCAAAGCAGATATGACACAACGACTTCTTCCCAGCCATTGCTGTGACTGCGTTGGGGCGTCCCTATATATATATATATACACACACACACACACGCGCCCCAACTCAGTCACAGCAATGACCGTGACTTATACTGGATTCAGAGATTGTACTCTGAAGTGACTGATCACCTTTACTTTCTCAGGGCTGACCAGTTCACACTTTAAAGTAGTCTCTTTGGGGTTTATATTTCTTGTGGATGGATTGAGGACAACTGCCAGATGTAAATCTTTATCAAAAAGTCAGGCACCAGTGCTTGTGAAAGGCAAACAGCATAGTTCTTTATTTCACAGAAAACTCAACAGGGGTGGGTGGGATATTTACACAGGATATTTTGTTTCTTTATAGAATAAATGCTTCACTCTGCTTTCACATAGGCTGTAGGCTTATAACTCTGAGTTTGTCACAGATTGTCTTTAGTACACAGAAACCATTTGTGATTCCACTCTGCAATAACTGACTGTGGTTAGCCTTTGGACTTTATCCTTCTGGTTCCCTGAGACTGACTGGTGCGACTACCCCAGCTTTCCCAGTCTCCTCCAGACCCTTAGTCCTTCCTTTAACCACCTTACAGGTTCCCTTGGACCAATGATATGGTGTTTTGTGACTATTGAGGGGTTATCCTGTTTCTCCTCGCCGTTCACGCTCCTCTCTCATTAGAGGGTACCAGTTAGGAGTGTTATTTAGCCCCAGTTTTCCTCAAACTGCTGGCTTGCTGTTGAACTCAGCTCCAAAGGCTCCTTTCTTCTCAAGAGCTCTTCAGCTAACTCTCTTCCAACTGACTCTGTCAACTGTCAACTGTTAACTGTTAACTGTCACTCATTGAGAATTTCGAGCAATCTTGCCCCCACCACTCTCAGTCACGTGACTCAGCAGCTCTCTTGTTTACCTGCTGCTGTTCACCAAACCTTTATTTCCATCACAGCAGCATATCTGCTTTCAGTACCAGAAAAATGTCCTAACTGAATATTGGCTACAAATTATGGTTGGTTTGTTTTTTCCCTCCTATCTAGTTAGGACGCCCCACCCTCCAAGTGAGGATCAGCATCTGGTCATTAAACTTCTCTTTTGTTGTGGGTCATGATGGAGCCATTTGCTTAAAACTCAGAACTTGGAAAACAGTGCAATCCTAACTTCAGTGGTCATAGAAGGGTGTAACTCTGTTTAGGATTGCACTGTAAGTAAGACATGAATAACCATAAGTCATATTGATTTGGGAAAGAGTATGTTGCATTTCAGTTTGTGTGAATGTCAGCAAGAAGAATGAATAGGTGATTTATTATATTATATATCTCCTATAAAGCTGCTTAATTTAAAAAGTTGCATCTTCAGATAAGAACTTGGAGTTCTCAGTATGCTTCTCAGTGATTATAGCTACTCATTACCAAATTCCGTTTACAGTGTCATTAGAGAGAATCAGAAATAGATTCAAGAAGAATAAATAAGGAAAAGCACAATAAATAATCAAACAATACTTGTCAAATATTGGTCTGCACCCATTGTGCATATTTATGGACTTTACTAGGGTGCCAGCTCAAACAGCAAAACCTAGTAGTATGTGTATGTTTCCTGAAGACCATTCCAGGTTAAGTTTTGTAGAATAAGTGATTTAAGGAAAGTAAACTTATTAACATATGATTTCCCTTCCAATTTAATTTTTTAATTTACTATAAACATCAGTGTTACAAGGTCAGGCTTCTTTGTGTGAGAGATTATATCAATAGTGCTTATAACAACCCTTCCATATATTATATAGCTTACTTCCTATTGTTGAAAGAGAACTATGACTGAAATAAGTTTTGAACAAAGAAATTCCTTTAAAAAAAAACAAAAAAACAGCTCGTTACACTATACCAAATACTTACTTTGATCATTTTATATGTATCTGTATAGAGTAATGTTGCCAGCTCTGGCTTGGGAAATTCTTGATTTGATACTGGTTCCTGATGAGGGTGGAATTTAAGGAGGGGAGGGAGCTCAATGTAGATGCAGTGCCATAGAGCTTACCCTCCAAAGCTGTCATTTGCTCCAGATAAATTGATCTCTGCAGTCTGGAGATCAGTTGTAATTCTGGGAGGACTCTAGGCCCCACCTGGAGGTGCTGGCAACACTAGTATAGAGCATCTGTGGTCAAGTTCACCTTTTTAATGAAAGTGAATTTAGCATATTGGGATTGAGTTTTGGGTCAATCTTACAAAGAAGACAGTTTTGCTGAAGAGCTGTGAACTGTCTAGGAACATAAATGATACGGAAATATGCATCTGGTTTCTCCTCCTGAATTTAGAGTTTTACAGATAAGACACAAAACACACTGGCAGCTATATAATTCTTCTCTGAACAACCCGCACATGGATGCTTTGATCAGTATAAAACAGCAGTAATTTTAATCAACATATAAATTAATGCTGGTGTTTTTATTCAGTTTTGTAGCAGATTAGATTAACCAAACTATGTTTTTATATATTAATTTACAAGGGTTGGATCTTTCATAATCACAATCTGTGAAATACATGGAAGTGGGAACGTAAAGATTTCTTGTATATTGTTGCTTACTTCAACTTATTTTGGAAGGCGTATCTGGCATGTATTTAATCTAGAAGGATGCTGGTATGGGAGTGTGCTGCTTTTGGCAATTCTGAGTCGCCTTCCATGAATACCTACAGCAAAATTTAAATTGCTTAATTCCTTTGAGATTTGGAGCATTGCCCAGTATGGAAAATATGAAATCAAATTATTCTGATAAACACATCACATAATCACAAGCAATAAAGAGCAAGGACCAGAAATCACTTTGCAAGCTACTTTGGCAACCATCCCAAACTCTGCAACAATCTTGTTCTCTTCTCTAATACAATTTATAAGCCTGTCTATCAGCCAAAGTTGAATCCCTTACTGTTTCCAGAGAACTCTAACTGCATTACAGTTTAAGAGTGGTTACATATATAAACACAGAAATAATTGTATGTTTTGGGGCACTTCGCTAAGGCTTTATTGGCTCTTAACATATGTGTGCTTCAAAATGTAGAGCTTTTTCCATAAGGTAGATTGTACATTGACTAATATGTACTACTTTTCATAGAAACTTTGGTTAGAAATCATTTTTAAAAGAATTTGCAAATTCAGCTGTTGAATGTTCACCTTGCTTTTAACGCATACATAGGTTTTGAAAGACCAGATTGTTAACAGCCTAAGGAGCCTTACTCCAATTTAAGTGCGCGGACTCTAATCTGAGAGAACTGGGTTTGATTCCCCACTCCTCCACTTGCACCTGCTGATGTGACCTTGGGTCAGTAACAAGCTCTGGCACAGCTGTCCTTGAAAAAGAGCAGTTTGTGTCAGAGATCTCTCAGCCCCACCCACCTCACAGGGTGTCTGCTGTGGGGAGGGGAAGGGAAAGGAGTTTGTAAGCCACTTTGAGACTCCAAGTGAAGGGCGGGGTATAAATCCAATCTCTTCTCTTCTTCTTCTCTTCTTAACTTAGAGTGAGGCTCCTTGGGATGGAGGAAAGCTTCTTGGAGAATGCTTGGATTCCACCCTAGTATCTTGTTTGCTCCTGATCTCTTTGGTTTCTTTAATTCAAATGTGCTCCTTCTTTCCAAAGTGGTAATCGTATGGAATGTAGACTGTTAATAGTATTGTCCGTATCATAAACCATGTGCTTACCTGTTACTTAGCCATAATGCCCTTCCTGTCTTTCTGTGCATTAACTATTCAAATACTCTGACTGAACACTTGACTGCTAGTATACCTGCTCAACCACTAGGATGCTCTGTAGTTCTTCCTGTTACAATTTTCTCTTGTGTGTAAATCCTCACCTTTTTTCTTTATTCTTTTTTTAAATATGCCAGTGAATCCAGAGTTTCAAAAATAAGCAATAATGACCTGAACATGCAGATAACGTGAATAGACTGTTTATGAGAAATGGTGAGATTATTTTTGTAGTGGAGTGTGACAGGAAGGAGTTATTAACACATTACCATTGATTATTTTGATTATTTTAATGTACTTTTTGAACCCAAATTCATTAAAATAATTAATGTTTAAAAGAACAGGTTCTGTGACTGGTAAGGTTAATGACAGTGTGATCTAGAAAAGGCCTTCAGCAGTTTCCAGTATCATTTTAATTGTAATTCCCCAGGCCAGCTGGATGCACACTATGGATTACAGTTTAAGAATTGCCACCATAGCTATTCTTAAGGATGAAAGCCATGCTACCAGAATCTAGTGCAGTGGTTCCTAACCTTTTTGGTAGGGTGACCCATAAGTCCAAATCTACCTGGATATGGTGACCCAGCCAGGTTTTTGTCACCTGAGGCAAACTAGGACCTTGATGCCCATCTAGTCTAGCATTCCGTTTTCTGCAGTGGCCAACCAGATGTTTTTTTGAGAAATCAGGAGACATCACACAAAGGGTACAGCTGCCTCCCATATGATTCTCAAGTAAGTGGTATTCTAAAGGACACAGCCTTTGCGTATAGAGATAACATTCTGAAATCTAACCACCTTCTCCTACTCCATTACTCTTTCTAATCCCCTGAGAGTCAAAGAAACTTGCTCTAACCATCAGTGGCTGCGGTCACACAGAGCATTAGCCAC